TTTAATTTTTAAAATTCTATTTTTCTCTATCTCATTTTGTATAGTTTCTTGTGCAGTTTAAAATTTAGTAATCTTTTCTTCTAAAATGTCTAACTTGCCATTAATTTCATTCTGTGCATTTTTCATCTCAAACATCGTAGTTTGTATCTCTAGGTGTTTGATTTTGTGTCTTTTATATCTTCCATTCTCTACTTCCTGAACATGTGGAATATAGTTGTAATAACTGTTTTTAATGTTCTTCTCTGCCATCTCTAACTTCTGTGTCAATTATAAGTCTATTTCAGTTAATTTATTTTTTTTTCCTAATTACTACTCCTTTTATGTTCTGCTTCTTTGCATGCCTACTAATTTTTGAATGGATGCCAGACATAGTAAATTTTACTTTGTCAGGTGCTGAATATTTTTGTGTTCCTATAAATATTCTTGAACTTTGTTCTGAAACCACAGTGAAGTTAGTTGGAAACAGTTTGGTCGTTTTGGATCTTGCTTTTAAGATTTGTTAGGCAGGACCAGAGCAGTGTTTAGTCTGGGCTAATTATTCCCCACTAAGAGAAGACCCTTTGGAGTAAGTACTCTACCCAGTGTTCTCTGAATTACAAGGTTTTCTAGAGTGGCTGGTTGGGAATCAGACACATCCTCTGCCCTGTTGAGCATCAGATACCATTTGCTTCTGTCCTGTGTGATGATCTTTTTCTGTACCTTGGCTAGTTCCTTACATGCATACACCAGTTATTAGTCTGCTCAATACTTAAGGGCAACCCTTTACAAATCTCTGGTGTTTTCTCTCTGTGTAGCTCTCATTCCTTTTCCTGTGCATTCTAGCTGCCTTAGATTCTCCCACCTAGTCCCTTCAGCCATTGCTTCAGGTCTTCTCGCCATCTTGGTTGTTCTTCACTGAATTATAACTGACTTGTCAACTTGCTTCATGTGACATCTCCAGAATTGAGTGTATTATTTAATTGATGATCTGTTAGCCTGCATTCCAAACATATAAAATGATTTATGGAAAATGTTTTGGAAGTTAGCTGGAAAATTTTAGTTGGTGAAAGTTATAGAAAATCTCTGCTTTAACTTACCTAGTTTTTATAATTTAGAAAAAATAATATAGTACAGAGGATTTTTTAAGTAGCAAAATATGTATTAGTGACACATTAATCTAGTAATTTAGTCCTGTGATGAACTTAACATTGTTTTTTTTTT